TATTCAACCAGTTCGTAATTCCCAATACTTTGGAAAGACCCTTCGTAGATGTGATACATTCGTGAGAAAAAAGCGTGACTGATTTAGGTTTGTGATAGCTATCCTCGACGATCACGGAAATGACGGAACCGGATAACATCGTCATGTCTATTGTAATAGTTCTCATACATCTGATTATCATGTTCCTGGATAATTATGGCGGGCAGCAAATGATGAACTGTAGTAATGAGCTTTTCGATGCAGTGTAAGTTCATTTTTTGGTGTAAATGGATTTTTTCGTCGCAGTCGTGGGAGTAAAGAAAGCTGAATACGGGTACACTTATTATACGAAATTTGGCTACAATCGAGTAGAGAATGGGTTAGAAAATGAACGATTGTTTGACGTAGTACCCCACGTCTGTCACGCAACGCACAGATGATAAAAGAGATTATGCTGAGAAAATAACGGGATGCTGCTATTCAATAATACAGATGGAATAGTTTGTGGTACGAAGCACCAATGAATACACAGAAAATGGTATTATACATACTGATGCGATGTTCAACCGAGGTGCAGATTAACTTTGCAGGTTTATTCATTCCATCGATCGGTGGCTTTTCAACGGTAATTTCTTACGTTTCATTCTCTTCTTGATAATGCTCGAATCCAGATTAATACAGGTTCCTGTTTCAGATGATCAGTTCATCGTTCTCATATTTCACCGTTCTGTATTCAGTCCAGTAGAGCGATCAGACGTAATGATCGTAACAGTAATAACAAAGCATCAATATTCAGAGACATCGATGTTAACAAGTTATATGCTGCATTACACAGAATTCCGACGAATTACATTACATCTGCAGTATTAAAAGATTTGAGATACTGACTTAAAGTACCTATGAATTGATTGATTATATTGTTTTGTTTTCATTCGCGCACCGTATCTTCTGAAATTATGAAGAGTTTTTTTTTTCTTCACAGAAGCTTCACACGTGGAGGGTTTTGTCACAAGCAAATATTGTAACCACATATAGTGTGGTATCGATAATGAATGTATGTTCAGAGAAAAGTTCTTTAAAATTCGATTTAAATGAGAACTATAATACATTCTACTTAAATAAATACCTATCGATGTCCGAATACTGTTTTCCAGTTGTTATTAATAAGTCATATAAACTTTCAGTTAACGTTTAGTCTTATACAAGGAGTTTCATTTGTCTTGACTACCACAAAGCTGTGTATAAATATTTTCTTCTTAACTGTTGTCAGGAAGAGTATTTCGTATGTAATTGAATCAAATGTACTACACTGTACACGTAAACTTTCACTAAAAACAGAAAATTAATATCCTCCTATTACACTAAAGAATGTGATTTTAGGAGGCTTTGAAGATTTTTTTAATAATTCGGTAATCTCTTGTCAGTGGAAAGGACTGTGTTTATAGTGTTCAAGTTTATAGCTATTTAAAGTTTATAGGGCGTTGTTTAAAGACACACCGAAGTCGACTGGACGAAAACTCACAACAGAATGCCAGCGACATGTCTCAGAAGTATCTCCCACTAGAATGCAAAAAACGATCGATAAGCCACTTTTTGCACCGTGCAATTTGTTCAAGTTCACCTGCGATGGGAAAACACAACAGTAGTGCTGGACACTTGTGTGTTTCTCACAAGAAACACAATGTTGCAAGACATCTTTCGAAGAATTCCACAAAAGCTAAGTCAAAATTGAAGCTCAATTATCTCCAGGATCGAAAAGCTTATTTCCACCAGAAAATTTCCACCGACAGGTTGAAAATGTTTATATAAAGAATTTATACAAATATGATAAGTAATACCCTCGGTTGTGTCTTCGTTGGTCTAGACTACCAGTCGCCCGCATGAACGAACCGAATGCTTCACTTACGACAGAAATTGCACACTAGGAATGACGGAAACCCGACCCTAGGGGAGTGATTCCGGTGCTAAATTATTAATAATTTCAGTTATCACTGTACTCAATTATTAATCATACCAGATACAGGTTATATGACAATGGTTGCTATTATTCGCAGAATATATTACCACCGACCGCATGCTGCTTGTTGCATTTTACAGAGGAAAATTATATATTAACTAACTGCAAACTGTCACATTAAACATCAATAAGATGCGTCCGGAGGACAGGATCTGGAATTATTCCTCATTGGTGAACCCACGACATGTCACTCTTCTCTTTACAAAAAAAGTTAATTTTATGACATTAGAAGAACAGATAAATAAAACGATTCCAATGGCACATTCTCATTTTCTTCTCTTCCATTCGTCGAGATGATCAAGTCGAACATTCAAGAATATTTTAACGTTATTTTAGTTAGAATAACACATAAATAATTTGGAAGCCCTTTAAACGTCCAAAAATCCTCAGTTACACAAGCAAGGAAATACCTGGACGGAGAGTAGTCCATTCCACGCGCTCTTCACGTTGTAACTGAGACTCACCATCGACGATGACAATTACCCTTACCCCTTTCTTCCCAGGAAAACAATCAGAAGAGGGACGTGGAACTGAGGGGAATGTCTCGCGACCCTCAATTCTCCACTATGTAGCGTATGATATGTATATATTTTTATTTTCTCTATTAAATTTCCTCCGTCGCACAAATCATATCGATCGGTTCCGGGCTGAAGACTGTAATTTGAGTAAATTATAATAAATATCTATGAAGAAAAGCGCGCCGGCGGAAATTCGAAGCGGACAACGCGTAACAACGTGAATAAAATATGATGGCGAGGTGTAGTCGGACGATGTCTCCGATTATCCGCGCATATGTTCTTTGGCATCGGCCGAGATGGACGCGTTCCGGAAGAATTACAACTTCTACTATAAAGTGTTGCGCCTCACCGGACTATGGCCCTTCAGCAACTCCTTGCCGACAAAGATTCAGAGAGTTGCGCTGTGTGTGATAATATTGTGGTGTATGGGGATCCAGGTGACACTCAGTTCACAGTAATACAAAGATTCTGAAACAACTTCTCTTTCTGATGCAGTGAAATGGTCTGATTTATATCGTATTAATTGTGCCGATAAGGAATCCAGCGTTTCTAATAAGTTTGAATTTACTTGCACGGAAATGAAAAAGTCTGTGCTGCCTCGAGTACTCTGATTGTCCACGTCGACAACATTTGGAATACACAATTGTTAGTACTGAATTGAAAATTAACACTCATTATGAAATATCGAATGAGAAAAAGTTGATGAAGGTCTATGGAAATTCGAGAGTTTGGAAGGAATAAATACTGTTACTAATCGTGGTTCAGAAATTACTGTTTGACAAAAAAGTGGTTTGACCTATACTCGTCTGGCAGTCGGACGTTTACATTACGCGCAAACGAAGTGTTACGTAAATTTTTTTATTTAAATTAATCGCTAATTTATTAGAGAGATGACTGATTAGTCGTTCATACAACTGATATTCATTTAACAGATACTCTTAAACTGACTGTTATTTTCAGTGTTGGCCATTTCTTTGTTGAGAACAAAACACGTACAGTTTTCATTTGTTTCATCGTTTGTTTCTAGTTCGTCACGTAGGGTTCAACTAGGCGATTTGCGTTGAACTGACTTCTTAAAATCTTTCTAATTTATCACTTCCTACTACAGCAGGCATGTCAAACTCATATGATATTACGGGCCACATGATCTATTTTGTATTAAGTTTGGGGCCGCATGTTTTCAATGTTCAAAAAATTAATAAAATACGATTTTTAGAATGATTATATTATGTATTATGTATTTATTAGACTCAATGTCAAGCTCAATGTATTGTATATTATACATACATAGTCGTTTTATATTTCATGTCATTTTTTAAACTAAAAAAATATTTTACATTTTATTGTATATTATATAATATACAATACATACATAGACATTTTATATTTCATGTTATTTTTTAAACTTAAACTATAAATATTTTATATTTTTTATAAAAAACAAAAATAAAAGTTATAATAAGAAATAAACAAAATCACAATTTAATATTACTTTTGAGAAGATATTTGACATCGTTTTTCGCAAAGCAAGTCATCAAAATTTGGTTGAATATATTGAGCTGATGCAATTTTTAAAATTGGTGATAAATGTTGATCGGTTAATCTTGACCTTTCTGAATTTTTGTTATTTTTCATTAAAGAAAATTGTTGCTCGCATAAATAAGTGCTTCCGAACATAGCCATTATACGCGTAACAAACGATAACATTTTAGGAAACCGATCTACAGATAAATATGTATAAAAATCTGGAATTCCAACTTCCATACATTTTTGCTTCAGCAAAGAATCACATTGGATTTCAATTAATTCCATTTGTAAGTTTTCATCAACAATTTCAATATCGATAGATAGAGGTGAAGTAAAAAGACGAAATTGTAATTCACAGCTTTTAAAATCAGAAAATCTTCGATCGAATTCCGTTTCTAACAATTTAATTTGGTGAGCATATTCTGTAAATTTTAATTTAGGTGATTTAATCTATAGATATTGACAGCTTTCAATGTGAGACAAGTTTTCTCTTTCTATTTGTTTTCGCCAAAGTAATAATTTTTGTTTGAAAGCGTTAATATTATCAAATAGCGTTGTAACAACATGATTTTTGCCTTGAAGCTTAAGATTAAGTTGATTAAGATGACTTGTAATATCAACTGAGAAAGCCAGGTCCTTTATCCATTGTCCATCTTTTAATTCAGCACATTCATAATTTTCTGTTTCCAAGAAAATTATGATTTCGTCCAGCAATTTGAAGAATCGTTTTAACACTTTATGACTCGAAAGCCATCGAACTTCCGTATAATATGGTAGATCGGTGTATTCACATTCTATATCTTCCAGAAATGAAGCAAATTGACGATGATTAAGTCCACGTGCTCGAATATAATTTACAATTTTGGTGACTATTTTTAAAACATGTCCGATATTTAAAACTTTGGAGCACAGTACTTGCTGGTGAATAATACAATGAAAATGTTCAAAATTATTATTACCATGCTGTTTGCATGTTTCTTTTAATCTTGCAACAACTCCTTTAGTAATACCGGTCATGGTAGGTGCACCATCAGTTGCAAGACAAACGAACTTTTCCAATGGTAACTTATACTTCTTCAAAACTTCCATAAGTGCATCAAAAATATCAGCTCCAGTGGTTGTATTATGCATAGGAATGATTTCCAAAAGTTCTTCACTTATTTTTAAATTCACATCACATCCGCGAATAAAAACGGCCAGCTGAGCGATATTACGAATATCTGTACTTTCATCAATTGCAATAGAGTAGGCTTGAAATGTTGATATTGTTGTATTATGCTGATTTCTCAAATTCTCGGCTATTTCATCAATTCTGCTGGTTACAGTATTTCGACTTAAACTTCCACTTTTAAATTTCTTTATTTGTGCTGGACATAATACTTCCGGCGCTTTAATTAAGCATTCACTAATAAATTCTCCTTCCGTAAATGGTTTCGATCTGCTTGCGATTAAATGTGATAATATATTTAAAAATTATTGATTTCAATTCCGACAATTTGTCTTCACGAAGTTTTGCAACGTATTGGTCATAGTTTGTTTTATGATTTGTGTCATAGTGCCTTTTAAGATTATATTCCTTAGCAACTGAAATAGAGTTTTTACATATCAGGCATAATATTTTATTCTTGTTTTGGACACAAAAATATTGCAGTTCCCATTTTTCTTGAAAATTACGATGTTCCTCTTCAATTGATCTTTTCTTACTCATTGTTCTTGAAGTTCGATTATATTTTTATTAAATAACTTTTTAGTTCAATATGAATAAAAACCAAAATCCACTTTAGATTTCAAAATACCATTCGCAAACGATTGAGCAAACACTGCACTTTGTGACGACTTGGACAAACATGTGTCGTGTGTCGCATTAGATCGCTCCGCGTTCTATCATGTTTCTCATCGTCTTGTGTTTTTACCTCCGTTCGGTTTCGGCCGCCGCTTTTCATTTGACGCCTCGCGCCAGCGTCAACCAAAAAGTTCAAACTTTCCAACTTCAAGCGTCAAAGCTTGATATTTAACAATGTTTAAAATGTCTCGGCGGGCCATGGACCTACCTGAATTTTACAAATGCGGCAGTTTATTGGAATCGAATAACATCAATATTTACAGACACTTTAAGGAAACTATTAACATCTTATTAATACGATGACACAAAATGCATGACGTTATGTTTGAAATTCAACGTTATCGTCATTTATGACATTAATTTCGTGATTTAAAAGTTCCGTAAAATGGCTCATACTCGTGTATTTCCACACCCATGTACCCGCGTTATTAATAACTACACGGACTCAAATATGGGTAGATACACGTGTAATCCAAATCTCCATATGTATAGTACAGAGCTGCATAATTTCTACTCCCGGAGTCAATCTCCCACTCTTGGGGTAAACCCACTACACGGCTCAGGCTGGTTCCCTCGTTCCATACGGAAAGTCGCATGATATAGGCAGAGGTCTTTGCAACAGGCTAGACAAAGAGGCTGCCGCTGGCGGTCTGATGGGAAGCCTCTCCCCCTATCATGCGACTTTCCATACGCAGCGAGCGAAGCAGCCTGAGCCGCGAAGTGGGGGTGAGATCTTGGGAGTTGGAGACTGACACTGGGAGTAGAAGTGATGCAACCATGGTATAGTATCTGTACTTTTCCAGTTTGTGTTGTTATTGTTCAATATTAATTATACTACAACACTATCAACGTTAACAATCGTTCACTCAGAAGTATATGACTGTTGGTCAGATATATTAGGCAAATAGCGTAATTTTTAGAAAATGCACTCGAATGAAACAAATGCAGACTGAATTCTTTGTTTACCTTTACTCGTGTCTCGTTTTCCTTCCCGAAAGCTACTCTTTAGAAAGGGATCTTTCAAAACAAAATAAAATACTTTTCAGTTAAAAGGACTAACAACAGTCAACCTCTCGATATACAATTTACTTACGATGTTGTCGTACTTTTTCCCGATGATGTTGTACATTGTACGATACATTGGTTTCATCTGCAATTTCTCATCAGTAAGTTCGAAAGTCTGCGATCGTTGCTTACCTAACGCCAAACGAACAAACGTTTCTGCTGTTTAATTCGAACTATTGTAATTCTACAGTTTTCTTTGCATGTAACTTCAGATAAGATTTATTTTCGAGAATATAGAGGCCGATTGCTGCACGTTGAAGAATCCGATAGAAGTGGAGCTGCTTATGAAGCATATAAGAACGACGAGGAAAGTTTTTCTGACATATTTGGGTAAGAAATCTAACAAATATATTCCTATAACGGCCGGGGAGTGGACCAGTATTCGACCATACGATTTCTTCGTTCTTTATATTCATCGTAGCAGAATAATCGAAATTTCATCGGCTTAATTCTGTCAGAAGCTGGCAACGAAACTTTATAAGTGAAATCCCAGCTTAATCGGACATGTTACTCTTACCTGAGTATCGCCATAGAAATATCATAATTGCTATTTTTATAATCACGGAAAGTACCAATTTATAGCAAAATTTACAACGATGGTCGATAGTTTTTCCTTTACGGATTCGATTCAGAATACTTTGATCCATGCTACCTTGGTGGAGGAGTGTGTCTGTCAGAACGACTTTATGAAATTCGTTTCGTGTAACAACTTCTCTGGAATCGATTCGCCAAAAATAAAATGATTCCGTATTTTAGGTTTTTCGTGTTTGGGAATCTTTTTCATGTCGATTCTGTTGCTGACCCCTACATTGCTAGTGCCAAAATATCAGATACGTGCACTTCGAATGGTGGGATTCTTTTTCGACAAGAATTCAACACAGCTCAATTGGATTTGCGTGCATGTCACAGTGGTAACTGCGATTGGTTTATTGGGGATAGCATGCACGGAAGTCGCGCTCTCTGTCTTCTCCTTCTACTTGTGCGGATTGTTCGATATCGCTAGGTACGTTGTCTCGAAACTTTGGCTTGCTGAGATCACTAGATTAATCCCTTTACACTAGTCCACGAGAACACAGTGCGTTAGAAAATGATATAACCACCTACGTTTTCTGGTGTAACTCGAGAAAGAAATCACCGATCCACTTCAGTTGTTTTAGTTGGTGATTCTAGTAGGTGGTAAATGACAGTGACTGTCAAATCTTGACTTGGAAATTCATACAATATGATATGTTTTTTAATAATCTTAGAAAAAGGCTATTCGGGCATAATTTTTTTCAGACGCTTTGTCAGTCACAACCGTATTATTTCGCCGGCCATAACATTTTCCACTATCCTTTCGTTGTCTTTCCATTTATTCTCATTACGAGAACGCTTCTTATTTCATATTTCTACATTATTTGCTTCATATAATAACTAATTAAATGCGCCAGATGTCTGCATGTTGAAAGCAATGCGAAAATTATTCTTGTTTGTTTTCAAGATGGAGGCAATGTAAATAAAAATGTTTCTCCCTCACATCACAAACCGAAATAAATAAAAAAGACGCAATCATACATCTCTATACAAAATTTATTACCCGAATAACTGTAACCTTTTTCTTGGATTGTTAAAAACCGTGTTACATAATATGAATTTTCCAGACAAGGTTTGACAGTAATTCTTATTTAACCGACTAAAATAGCTACGAATTAATACCGAATTTCCTGAGAAAGTGAATTTTCCTAAAAGTAGTTGTGTAAACTGATAGTACTGTGATATGTACCCCTTTTCCACTGAGCCCCTCAGATCACAATGAATCATTGGTGGACTTTGTACAATTGCCATTGCAGTATCTAGCCAGCAAGAAAACAATACGTGAACATATTTTTGTATTCCCCCAGTTATCGAATACGAACCGCGATCAACAACGGGGTCAAGTTAGCCACGTCGAATCCCATTGACATCCGGCCAACCGTGATCATGCACGAGAAAGCTCTTCGGTCGGTAGTGTAATTATAATTTTAACACAAATAACATTCACTGCATCCGTTATTATCACATTATTACGTGTTTTATTAATCCTTGGACGGTGAACACACGGACGATTACGAATTCGCAAACGAAGAATCGCCAACGAGATATCGACCGTAATGGTGCTCCCTTATTTATTGGCGATAATTGTGGTCGTCGTTTCGTTCGCCATCAGCTTGTGCCGTGTAAGTATCGTCACAATTAAATTAGAGCATGGATATCGTGTATTTAGCACATGCTCGAAATACGACATGTGTTTCTAAAGTTCTGAGAAGTGTGTTATACACTTTTTAATTTATTAATTTTCGTCCATATGACACTGTAATTTTTCAGTATATTTCCTGTTTAAGTGTATTCATTTGTCCCAGCGTGAAACTACTTTTTTTAAGGCATTTGAAAAATCTTTTCGATGTATTATTCAACCAGTTCGTAATTCCCAATACTTTGGAAAGACCCTTCGTAGATGTGATACATTCGTGAGAAAAAAGCGTGACTGATTTAGGTTTGTGATAGCTATCCTCGACGATCACGGAAATGGCGGAACTGGATAACATCGTCATCTCTATTGTAATAGTTCTCATACATCTGATTATCATGTTCCTGAATAATTATAGCGGGCAGCAAATGATGAACAGTAGTCTTGAGCTTTTCGATGCAGTGTAAGTTCATTTTTTGGTGTAAATGGATTTTTGCGTCACAGTCGTGGGTGTAAATAAAGCTGAATACGGGCACACTTATTATACAAAATTTAGCAACAATCGAGTAGAGAATGGGTTAGAAAATGAACGATTGTTTGACGTAGTACCCCACTTCTGTCACGCAACGCACAGATGATAAAAGAGATTATGCTGAGAAAATAACGGGATGATGCTATTCTATAATACAGATGGAATAGTTTGTGGTACGAAGCACCAATGAATACACAGAAAATGGTATTATACATACTGATGCGAACTTCAACCGAGGTGCAGTTTAGCCTTGCAGGTTTATTCATTCCATCGATCGGTGGCTTTTCAACGGTAATTTGTTACGTTTCATTCTCTTATTGATAATGCTCGATTCCAGATTAATACAGGTTCCTGTTTCAGATGATAAGTTCATCGTTCTCATACTTCACCGTTCTGTATTCAGTCCAGTAGAGCGATCAGACGTAATGATCGTAACAGTAGTTATTACAAAGCATCAATATTCAGAGACATCGATGTTGACAAGTTATATGCTGCATTACACAGAATTCCGACGAATTACATTACATCTGCAGTATTAAAAGATTTGAGATACTGACTTAAAGTACCTATGAATTGATTGATTATGTTTTGTTTTCATTCGCGCAAGTATCACGATTGTACCTTCCTAGTATCTCAGGATTCGGAGCTTTAACCAAGATTAAGATGGATCTAGATCAAAAGACCGTCTAGCTAAGTCCCCCTTATAGAAAAACTTTCCTTTATGGATCCGATCAGTTTACTACCTCATTATATCGTCACCTTTGGCCATACCTTCATAAAACCAGGAAACGGGTTAAATGAACTCGAGGACCAATCTTTCATTGAAATCGAAGAAGATTCAGTGAACGAGTCTTCCATATTTGAGGCACACGCAACTTGATGATCAATGTAGTCGCCACTTTTCCTGGGTCTAGTGGTGCCTCTGAAAACGTCTCGTCCGCTTCACATTGTAGTAGGGAATTGAGGGTGGGGGGCATGACGGGCAGCGAGTAAGATGGGGTATTGTACATAAACGCTAACTGCTTGTCGCCGACACTAATGACTGGGAGAGCACGCGTCTTT